TTGCCTCCCACACACACCCCCAACCAGGACCAGGGATCGAACCTATAACCCAGTGTGAATTAACCATCTTGCACATTGATTTTCAGCATTTCAAGAAACCTGACACACTCACAACTTCAGAAACAAAAGGAAAGCTGCTCTCTCTCCTATGTTCTTGAGGAAAATGCATAGCCATAACCAGGGTTCTGTTTCGGGTGGGCTGTTTATGAGCGCACACATGCATGCCTGTATTGAGAGGCTTACTTTTTCATCCTCTCGTGGGTCTCAGGCTCGTCCTTTCTCACTCATCTCCCCGTAGATTGGACTTTCTGAAATCTGGAATCCAGTGATTGTGGGTCCCTCTGTGTTCCTCTTCCAGTTGATATTCTTGTAGAAACAGATGTTTAGGCAACCGGTGAAAACTTGTAAGATTTCTGCTGATGTGCTAAGAGCTGTCAATCCTGATGACATTTTTGTCTTACAGTTGGTTTCTCTCTGGCGGCGCCTTGTTGCTTGTCAGCGTGTCCATTGCATTCTACTGCATTCTCTATCTGGAGTGGTATCGTGGGATTGAAGATTATGATGTCAAGTATCCAGCCCTGATCCCCATCACAACTGCTGCTTTTATCGTGGCAGGGATTTGGTAAGTTAACTTTGAAATACTGATAGAAATGAAATGTTGGTCAGGTACTGATGTGCATGGCACGAATGTCAAAGGAAAAAAAAGGAATATTGGGGAAAATAGTCTCCCTGTCATTTCTAGTCTCCAGTTTCCTTTTCAGTAATATCGTCCTTTACGTATGTATTTCACTATTTAAAACACAGATGGTGACGTACTATCTGTATTCTGCAATTTGCTTTTTAAGTCATTTTCTATGAAGTATAATACATACAGAAAGTGGAAAAAACAGAACTGTACAGCTGAATGAGTCATCATGAAATGAGCATTGGTGTGAACCGCTCCAGGTCTGGGGAGAATCGAGCCAATACCTCGAAATCCCTTCCCACCTCCCCATAGTCACTGCCCCAAGTAAACACTGTCCTGACCTGTATGCTGATTGCTCTCGTGCACCTCGTAAGTACTCTGTTCTGTCTTTTTTTTTTTTTTTAACTTTATAGAAATGGACTCGTAGCATCTATTCTTTGATGTTTGCTGTTTACACGTATGATTCATCCGCATTGTTGTGGGTAGCAGTTGTTCATTGCTGTCGGGCAGTCCAGCCTGTAGCTGAATCCGTTTCTTTTTCTACTATTGATAGCATTTGGATTGTTTCCAGTTTGGTGGTGTTATTATTGAGGCTATCAAGAACATTCTAGTGTATGTCTCTTGAGAATATGTGCACATTTCTGTTGGATGTATATGTGAGAGAGACACATTAATCGGTTGCCTCCCACATACACCCCGACCGGGACTGGGGATTGAACCCACAGCCCAGTGTGAACTAACCATCTTCCACATTGATTTTCAGCATTCCAAGAAACCCGACTTAATGTGGAGGAGTTATCTCTACAGGTGAAATTGTTGGCTCATAGGGTGTGCATGCCTCCAATTTCAGTAAATAATGCCACACTTTTACACGAGATGTTCTTTTTTTGTTATTCTTTTTATTTTTTAAAAATATATTTTT